GCAATAGCAAGCCTAGAAAGCCATGACTAGCAAATAGCCATGGCAGTCGAATATGACGCCCTCATTGCTAACGATACATGGGACGAATTAGAGCCTCTTAAAGGCACTCATATTATTAAGGGGTGATGGGTCTTCACCATCAAATAGGTATCTAGAATCGTAGAGCGATTTAAAGCCTGCTAGGTAGCCAAAAGGCTTTGAGCAATTAAAAGGGGTCGACTACAATCAAACCTTTGTCTTAGTAGCTAAAAGTATAGCAATCCAGATCCTAATGGCACTCATAGCATATTATGATTGGGGTATTGAGCAAATGGATGCAGTCACAGCATTCCTAAATAGTCACCTCAAAGAAACTGTTTGGATCTATATGCCAGTTAGATATGAGAATGGCTCCTGTGCCTGCTGCCTTAAAAAAGGACTCTATTGTTTAAAACAAGCTGCGAGACTATGGGCTAGAAACGTTAGGAAGCTACTCTTAGAGCTTGGATATTACCCATTGCCAGAAGATGACTACATATATTAGCATCTCAAAAAAGGGGGTATTTGTTGCCACCTATGTCAACGATTTTCTCATATGTGACCTGATAACGATGCGATTCATTAGAGTTACACAAAGGCTTCACATTTTCATGTAAATTAGAAGAATTTGTTACGGTAAAGGGTTCAGCTACTAATAATTGTGTCGACATTGGGAAATGCCACAAACTCTGCAGTAGACCAAGGGATCTTGAGGGATTCCACACTTGTTACATCAATTCCGCTTGGTGGGACCACAAACCCACGATCCAGCATCTTGGCCTGCCACCTAAGTCATCTCTGACACTATCAAGGTTCGTCACTAGCAAGAGATTTTACATCTGCAGATAGTTGAACAGTTCAAATGTGTTACAGTACCTGGCCAGCTCCGGCTGGGTATACATATATAGAGGATTACAGGTGCAGCCTTAGCCACCAAGGTTACAACTGCTAAGCGGGCAACTGTATATTACGAGGAATAGCCTCACCTTCCTTTTTTCTTCTTCTTCTTCTCTCTTTAGATTTAATCTAGCTTACTTTTCCCAGACTAGCATCATGACCTCGGTGACCATCGTAACATGCAGTAGCGTTTAAGCTTGTAAACTGTCGATTCTGGTAAGCTATATAGCTTCAGCTATACGAGCTTCGTTCTCTTGAACCCGGATGCTCTTGCGTCTCGCCATGTTGTAGTTTACAAGTTTGAAGTTGCAAGGTGGGGGTTTTGGTGCTCATTACGCCATTGCGAACGTTACAGAATATAAACCAAAAATACAGTCATAAAGCAGTAGGGCCCAAAGTGATAATTTTGTAATGTATATTCTTATAATTAGAGCTATTCTAACTGCTATATATATTGTTATAGACTACGGGCTCTATTCCTATGCCTATTCGTAGCTTAGATCCTAAAACCCTTCTAGTTTAAGTCTGTTCCCTAGAGCTTCAGAGTCAAAGCTTTTAGGATCGGAAGATCTAGTATCTAGAGGATTACGAAACTAGCTAACACAGTTTCAGTATTAGGGCCCTCATCCCTATTTCTAGACTGAGGATTCAACATGCCCCTTTGGTCCTGAAGCTAGTGATTAGGAGCTCTAATCCTCTAGGCCGAGCTGCCTAAGGAATTCAGTGTAGCGAGCTCTAGAAAGGGGCTTCATTAGGCTGTTAACTGCAAGCTTCATGGTCTTAATATATAAGAAACCCAATTCTTTTTTCTTCAACTTTCTGTCTTAGGAAGTGATGCTTAACATCAATATGCTTCATTCGCTAGTGCAGCTCTAGATTTTCAGTCAGCACCAGACTTCCTTGGTTATCACCTTCAATCATGACCGGATTGAGGCCTTTGTTGTATTCTAGCTTTGAAGTAGGCTTCGAAGCCAGAGTGCTTCTCTTGTAGCATTTAAGAGGCTGTAGTATTCAGCTTTAGTGCTTGACAGTGCCACTGTCTTCTGCCATCTAGATTTCTAAGTGATAACTCCTCTGTAGAAGTAGAATAGAAACCTAGATGTAGATGATCTAGTATCGATGTCCCCTGCCTAGTCCGAATCGGAGCAACCCTAGAACCCCTTTTTGGATCTGTGATATGTAATGCTAAGCCCAACTGTGTGAGCTAGGTATCATAGGACTTGGTATGCAACTTTTATATATGACTCTATAGGATTTGTAAGGTGGCAGCTTAGGAATAAGACTGCAAATGCGACATCGGGTCGGGTTTGGATCATGGCATACATGATCGATCCAATCATCAACTGGAATAGCTTTGTGTCCACTTCTAAGGCCTGCCTAGTGTTTGTAGCGAGCAATTTGGAGGCGTTGCTTTCTATAGGGGTATCCTTTCTGGTAGCGGCTTCCATGCCAAAGACTCCGAGGATTTTTTAGATATAGCTTTTTCAACTTAAATGGATTAATCGATTCTCTCGATCCCTTAATATTTCGATGCCTAAGAAGGTCTGGCATGGGCTTAAATCCTTTATCGTGAAGCGGCTAGATAATTGATCCTTTAAGACCGTACTGCTCGTATTAATATAGTCTGACCAGAATCTTCCCTTGAATTTGGATCCACACTCTCCAGCTTGATGAGATCCTTGGCCATTGTTATAGCAGTTTTATCTGCCATTGTCACACGCCAAGATAGAGGCTGTCCGCCCAGTCTCATGTCGATCGTCGCTCTCACACTCTAGATTGCTAAGTATGCATCGAAATGAGTTGAGATCGGATAACTTCACGGTGAGAGTCAAGGCTGTTCTCCCATCTGTAGGACGTGCCATAGGGTCCGAGCCAGCCTCCAAGAGCATTTCCACAAATGCCTTTCGCGATTCTTGGATTGCGAAGAGGAGTGACGTTAAATTTGCTAATTTCTCCTCTAGATCCAAGGATGATGTGGATAACATTAAAGCGACGACATCCTCGTTGTGAGATTGAATCATTGCATCGAAGATCAAGTCACCAAACCCCGATTGTTAGGCAGTCCTTAGGTCTCCTTCGGCATCCAGCAAAATTCTAAAGACTGCCAATCGACTGCTCCGGTTAGTACGTCCACGGACCGCGCAGTATAGGGCGTCTTTTTTATTGTTGTTAGTGGTGACATTGATCCAGAGCATCAAGATTCGTTCGAACCTCTGTCAGCCGCATAGCTTAACAGGCTCATAGAACCACCCCAGAATCCATCCTGGTTTATCAGGGGAGGATGCTCCTTCAGGACTAATTCCAAATGCGGAAATTTCAAGAGAGTTGGCTCCTCGCCATCATTTGATAGATTGGGCGGATTGGCGTGACTGTTGCTTTTAGTGGGCTCTAAGGTAGCAGCGTCTGCAATCGCTTCTGATGAGGCGTACTGTAATGTAAGCACTGTTGCAGAGCGGCGGAGTCGTACATAGCTTCGGAATGTCTGGATTCCAGCACTATCCTCAAAATGTCCACATCGCCGAATTTGCATAGGTAGGAGATGAGATGTCGGTTCCTTCTAAATAAAGTCTTTTCTTCATCGTAAAACTGCGGCGAGATTCCGTTTGTGCTAGATTCGCTGAAGTCTCATCATGTAGCTGAGGGAGATTTACGACTGCGCGAGCAGCAGCACTATGACCACCATAAGAGCTGCTACCATAGGATGTCTAAAATTTCCCCCATATAGTTCAAGGTGCTGGTATCTATCGGGGTGGATTCTAATAAGATCGGCACAACCGTATTCGCCGAGAAAGTACAAGAGGTGAGGGTGATGGTGCCTCCTGTCAGAACTGTTACGTGCCCACACGCAGCCTAGAGTATTGAAGGTCTCGAGGAATACAGTCTGATCTAAACCCTGTTTTTGTGCCCAATTCGCATGAAAGTAGATATGCTCTACTGCATATTGTGACAATGGGTATTCCTGAACACAATCTGGATGCCCGGGGTTCTTGACCACCTGTTCCATTCGTGCAGTATGTAACGAGATCTGGAGTAAGCAAATTCTCTTAAGAGTGTCATGACCTTGTCCCTCAAAATTCTTCGCAGTATTAATAGACGGGCGTCCATTTGCTGAAAGCGCAGTTTGTCCATCATTTCCTTCTGTTGAGCCTCGGAAAGTATTTTGTCATCGTCCTTGCTTCAGGAGAGCTTGGTCTAGGAGTTCTTGCTCTCGACCTCGGCCTAGACTCCTCTACGCATATTTCTTTATTCAATTCCCCGAGTGAAGGCTGTACAATACGCTGGATAGCCGCCGCAACCTTTTCGTACCGAGGGTCGTTAAGACCAGAGAGTCGACACATGTCCCTCCGATTGAGGCCATGCTTCGATGGGTACGCGCTATCATCAGAGCCTTGCACAATAACTTGGAGGCAGGGAGCGATGATAGAGCGTACTTGACGAGCTACGTGCAGGGAATGTCGTCAAGAAACACAACACTTGATACAGTATGTTGTAAGGAATAGAAGGGAGAGGATGTAACATTATTGTCCTAGTCTCTACACCAGGCTCCCCCAACTGCTCAGCCCCAGCCTTGCCTGCAGCCCTTAGTCAGGGACCTTTAACGCTTCTCATAGGCCGCGATATCTGTCTAGAAGTCAAAATTGACCTCTGGAAGCGGTTCGCAGAGTACGAAGCCTGCGTGGACGAAAAGAACCATACTGATGACGAAGAAGCGCCTGTCTTGTAGTGCGATATTCCAAGTCTTGATAGAAGAAGCCGATTTGAGTATCATGTATAGAACACCCAGACACTAACTACACTTGCCATCTACGTGTATAGCAGGGTAGGAGGTGGTGAGTACTCAATATCACCACAAACGTCAGTAATAGTGCACGCGTCAGGCTCCGTAGTGATGGGGTTTCCTGTTCTCTATAAGATGGAGATGTTTTAAAATAGCGAAATAATGGGGGGGTATACTCTGGATAGGGGTATACATTTATTATAACAGCACAAGAAGCAAACATACCCATATGATGACATATACCGAGAGACTGGTATAAATGCACTACTTCATTCACCCCCCCTACCCCAACCAACATCTAACTAACCTAAACCCCCCCTTCCAACCCCTCCAGGTCCTTAACCACACTAGCCTTCGTCCCAATCTTCCTCATCTGCGTATCCTCTAGCCTCTCCCCCCCCGCAAGTCTCATCTCCAACTCCTCAATCGCCCTCATCTTCTTCTGCAACCCCCTCAGCTTCTTCGCATGCGCCGACCCGCCTCCCGGGCTCAGCACCTCCTCCACCACCACCACCGGCTCCGGCACCGGCACCGCCGCCGCAGCAGCAGCGGGCGCGCGACGGGCAGGCGTAGACGGCGCCGCAGCAGTCCCAGCCGCAGGGGTATTACGCCCAGCCCCGCGACCGCCGTTGGCATTGCCATTCGCATTACCATTCGCCCTCTGCGCACCCCCGCCGGCAGCAACTCCCTCGAATCCAGGCGGCACAGCCGGCGCCCCGCCACCAGCCTTAATCTCCGCCTCCTTCGCCTTCTTCGCCTCGCGCTTCTTCTTATTCTTCAGCGCCGCCTTGCTGAGATTCTCATCCTCCGCACCCGCAGCTGGGGCCGCCTCAACCAGTTCCGCGCCTGGAACAGCGCGGCGCGCGCGCGGGCCTTGGTGGCCGAAGACGGGGGCGCTGACGAGGGAGGTCCCGTTGCTGACGGTGTGTGCGGCGCCGCCCTCGTCTTCGCGCTTGAAGTGGAGGGGAGTGCTGGTCCCGCGGGCTCCGGGGGGGCGGTAGGCGCCAGCGGGCTTGGAGGGGGTTTTCACGGTGGTGAGGTACTGCGCCGCGGACGAGTGTTGCGGGACTGGCGCGAGCGGGTTGGAGACCGTGTTGGGGCCCGGGAGGGACGGGCGCCATGCGACGTGGTAGAGTTCCACCATGTCTTCGTTGTAGACGATGGACCCGGCGACGTGGTAGATGCGGATTCCGTTGTCGACGCGGAGACGTGGGGATGTCGTCGCGGTGAGGAGGAAGCGCTCGTCGGGGCTCCATTCGCAGACGCTGGGGTTGCCGGACTCGATGGTCGTGAGCTTACGGTAATCCTTGCTCAGATCGTAGACGTCCACCTGGCCCGCGAGGTTGCCGAAGCCGGCGACGAGCACGAAGCGCCCGGTGGGCGAGAAAAGGATCGTGTTACGCGGCCCGAGCGGGAAGGAGTGCGTTGCCACGGCGCGGGTGTTGAAGATGGTCGTCTTGGCGGGCATGTAACCGTAGACGACGCCGAATTCGCGCGAGTTGGGCGACCAGGTGACGTCGTGGATGGGGCCCTCCTTGTCGAGAGTGATGCGCGAGTCGAAGCCGCCGTTGGCGCTGAGAACGTACAGCGTCGTCTCGCCGTAGTAGCTCTTGCCGGTCTTGTCGACCTCGGTCTGTGCGAGCACGATGAGTGTCGTGCCGAGGGCGTTCCACTTCAGCTGCACTTTGTCGCCCTTGAAGAAGGTCTTTTGTGACACGGCGGTGCCGAACTGAGGCACATTGAATACCTTGACTGCGGCGGGTTGGCCCTGATTTTCGTTAGCTGCGCCCTCGACGGAAAAGTCCTCAACGTAAAAATATACATACCTTGCGCTGTGGGATAAAGACAGCCACCGAATTATTGTTCCCCGGCGACAAGGCAAAATCTGCCACACCCTCGGCCCTCAGCCTGTTCCACGGCACGGCCAACTCATGGCTCTCATAGAACTGCACCTCATTTGTCACAACGCGCGCGCAGTACTTCTCATCAGCGGTATACTGCAAATTCCACCCCGTCTGACTCTTCTGCACCCAGCGACCCAGCACCGTGCGCTCCCCCTCCTCAATCGTCCGCCACACCTTCAAGTTCTTGACCGCATCGCCCGCCTCGTCCTTGCTCGGGCGCTCCCACGTAATAACATACGATCCGCGCGGCGAGAAGGCGAGCTCATAGACGTTCGGGACGGGCAGCTCTGCAACCGGAGCGCCAGTGGCCGAGTCAACGACGTGCACGCCCTCGACGGCGGCCCAGGCGAAGTAGCGTCCGCAGGGCGAGTAGATGCAGCAGCGCGAGTTTCCCTGGGGGCGCGTGAAGCCGGGCACGGACGCGTAGAGGGGCGCGGCGTCGGTGAGGCCGATTTCCTTGAGGGTGCGGAAGGCGAACTGCGGGGGGGGCGCGGTGGTGGTGGTGGTGGAAGCCATGGCTAGTTAAAGGCACGGCGTGTGTCGGGTTGGTGGGCCTGTGAGTCGTTTTTCTTCGTGGGTTGTGGTGGGCGTGTGAAGCTTGGTGCGTTCGTTGGTGGTGGTTGTGGTGTGTTGGGTTGTTGGCTTTGCGGAGTTTCGAAAGGATCGAGCGTAGTCGTACGGTTCGAGCTTGGGTTTGGTTGAACAAAGGGTTCCTTATGTCCAACTCTCCTAGAACAGAGAAAGGGTTGTGAAAGTAATCTCTTTGTTTTGTCGGTTGTCCGTTCGTGTTGTCCGTAGTCCGTCTGTTGGTAGATCAGGCAATCCTCTTTCGAAGTTTTGCTTGGTTGGCTGAGTTTTATTGGCTTGAAAATCACTGAGAACTGAATCCCAATAATATCTCGAGTTGGAAGAGGTGGAGAAGATGAAGAAGATGAAGAAGAAGAGGCCCTTTAGTAGCTTGTCTCTGACACCGAGGGTGAGGATTGGCGCGCGTGTGTGGAGAGAGAGAGGGGGGAAAGAAAGAGGTGAAGGAGGTGAAAGGAAGGAGACGGAGGTGAGGCGCCGGCGTGAGAATAATATTTGTGTGGGGCGCACAAAAACAGAACAGCGGCAACGCTTTTTTTTTAGTTTCATGGTTTGGTTGGTGGTGGTTTGGCGCTAGGGAAGTACAAGGAGTCAGGGCGAAAACAAGCACATGCAAAAGTACCCAACGCTACGGCAAGGCCGTGGAAGGTGTTGGTGATCTAGAAATATATTATTTCGTCAACATTTGTGGTTGTTTCTATTCGTTCACAGGGTTAGCAATTCGAATATAAACTTGAATACTAGGCTGTATTCATATTCATGAATAAAAATTATTCACATAACTTATTCATATTCATAAATACATAACGTACATGTATAGCGAAAGCGCCAAACAAGCGAAAGCGCCAAAATTATCTACCCTCACGACAAACATTGCGATAAATCTACCACAACATTAGAAATCAATTGAAACTACTCGGAGTCCTCTTCCTCAGAGGTGTCTATTACAATCTGACACGTGCGCGCATTGTGCCCAGTCTCACCACACTTGCCACAGCGACGGGCACGGGTTTCTTCCCTTGGCTTCCGACCACGGCTTGCCCTTATTTCCTGCTCTACCTGCTGCACAACATCCCTCTCATCCTGTAGCTCTTGCGCCCCTTGTTGACTAAGTGATCCTCCTTGCTGTAGTCGTGTTTTCCTAGCTCTCCGGCGCTTGCTTAGTACTTCATTTGCCTGTCGTAGGTTTTGGTTCTCTCCCTTTAGCAGTGCTAATTGATGCATTATTTGCGATGCACCCTTTGTAAACTGGTCAACAGCTGCATAGATTGAGGTTGGAGAGCTATTTTGATGGCGTGAAATCCGAGTTTTAATAAATGTAGACTGTGACATAGCTTCAATTGGGTTGTTTGGTGTCTGAGAAACCCAAGGTTGAGCAGTACCTGGGCGGGAGCTTGGAGGCGTTGGTGTCCTTAACTTAAGATCAAGTGTAGATATCACTCTCTCAGGGTCAAATGGAAGAAGCCCTGCCCCTCGGAACCCGCCTCGAATGTTACTTTCCGTCATTGTAGTGTTAAATGCAGCGTGGAAGGCAGGAAAGAAGTCATCCTTTGTAATATGAGAAATATGAGCCTGCATCATATCTTCAATTTGCCGACCATAGGCCTGCTTTAACGGGCCGAAACAGCCAACATCAAGTGGCTGGAGTAGATGAGAAGAGTGAGCAGGCATACAAAGCGTAATAATGTTGTGTTCCTTGCAGTACTTCTCAAACTCATCTGAGTGGTGGCTCTCATGACCATCAAGGACTAACAAGCGATAACCACCAACACTCCGGGCCTTTGTATGCTTCTCAAAGTGCTGAATCCAATCCATGCCTCTCTCGTTTGTAGTCCAGCCATTTTCAGTAACAGAAATCACCCAATCGCTTGAAAATCCACTATTCTCATACCAAGATGTAAGGTGGTTTTTGCCTGCAACAATGATAAATGGTGGTACTGCCCAACCTTGAGAACTAACGCCTTGGATTACTATCACCCATTCCCGATTACCAGGCTGTACCTTCTTTGCTTTTGCCCGCCCGTCTGAGCTTGTTACAACCATAGCAGTTGAGATAACGCCCATCATAAACCCAGTCTCATCAAAGTTGTAGATATCTGCTTCATCAATACCATATTTCGCAATTGTGTTACGCACAAGCTCAAACCAGCCATTAATAACTTCTGGATCTTCGCACTTAGCCCTCTGGTAGTCATATTTGCGCTGAAAGCGTGTCTGGAGCTCTACACGCCGCTTAACAAAGTTTGAAGCCCAACGCGACCCAACGCGTGACGCGTCGCGTGTTGCAAGTAGTCGACTTGCCATATCTTCAACAACAGACAGCCGAGGAGGAAACCCTTTGGCAGCTAGGTCGAGTATATACTGAACAAGGACAGACTCCTCTAGGTTAGTTAATTTCCGTGAGTTGGCTTGGATATCGCGTCGTGAAGGTACACCTTCTAGACGACGACCTAGCTTGCGGTGGTCCACAGAATAGATCCTAGCAGCAACTCGAAGGCGTAACTTTGGGTCGCTTTGCATAGCCTGGATAGCTAGCACTAATTGGCTTTCATCGTTTTTATGGGGCATGTTTTGTTGTTGAGGAATTTAACATTTAGTTGGGGGGTTTGGTCACCGCATCATTTTGGCGCTTTCGCTTGTTTGGCGCTTTCGCTATACATGTACGTTATTCATGAATATTAATGAATATTTGAAAATAGATGGCTCTAACTAAATTAAGTAAGGTAATTACTATATTAGGAATAGTACATAGATAAGATTAGATTCGATAAGAAAAGAAAAAAAGAGGAAATATAGAATGTTAAATAATATTCTAGAAAGTCAACCTTAAATTTGTACATAGCCTAAAACAACAACAAGAAGATAATGATAATTGTAATGGTGGGTGCACCAGATATGAGAATCTAGCCACCCCAAGGAAGGGATGAATTTACTAAGACAACACACTGTCTTAGGAAACAGAGCCAAAGGGTTGTAGCTTAGACTATTCCACAACGCAGCAATCAGGTGTGTGATGTAGTGAAGTGGTTCAGACAAGTTGCAACAAATGTTGAGTTTGAGAACTCAGGGGTAAGTCAGAGGTTAGCACCTCACTGACTTTTCAGAAACAAGGAGTAACAAGATCAATGCTTGGAAGCTTGGAAAAGACGTGGAAGTATGTGATAGTCGATTTACTGTATTGTCTGCTTGCCCTTTCTTAAGGAAAGGGCAATCCTATTTATGCTAAAGGAGTGTAGTTCTCTCATTTTCCAAGACTTTCCATGATTACCAGGCTTGGTAACTGTAGTCGACGTAAGAGAATCCCATAGAACCATCTCTTAGGTTCGTAGCCTATAGGAAGTAAAAGGAGGTCCAAGGTCAGAGTACCCCTATAGACAAATTATGTCATAGACAAATTATATCATAGACAAATTATGTCATAACTTAACCAATCTTGTGGGTAACTAAAGAGCGATGACATGTAATGAATCATAGAGGTTCGTAGGAGCTTTTAGAGCTATCGTTCATGCTCCTAGGCCTCTAGTTGGTAGAGATATGTCATGTGGTAATATGAGTGATGTCATGTAATGAATCATAGAGGGTTGTAGAGATATGCTATGTGGTCATATCAGCCCAGTAACTAAGGAGCAATGACGTGTAATGAAACATAGAGGGTTGTAGCAATCGTTGAGTAGTATTGCTCTTGTTGTTGGTGTGACAAGCCAAAATATGTATAGTGACTTGTAGGTTTGAGGAGGAGATTTCTAAGTTTGCTCTTGAGTTTGATAGCAAACTGAGTGCAACGAATGTCAGTATGACATGTTTGGAGGAGGAGGTGTCGATTCCACTGCAGCGATATGGGCTGAGAAGTTATCCATTGTAAGCAGTATAGAACGTGACGTACCAATATGAGTATAGAAAGCATTTAGCCAATCTGCCATAACAAATTGATTTATCCAAGCCTTCTTATTCTACCTCCAAACCCCACCCATTGCCCCTACATCAACGTGTTGTAAAGCTCGAGGCTTTTTAGCCTTTCCAATAAACCAAATAGGAAGTCGATCTGTTCCAGCAGCATTAACACAAATGGCTACTGATATGCGTGCTTTGTCCTTCTTCTGTCCTGAAATTGATCGTGTTGTAAAGCCCTTTGAAGGGCTCATCCTCCAGTAAAGCCCAGTCTCATCCATGTTGTAAATATTGTCCTCTAAAACCCCCGCAATAGTTTGTATAGCCTTCATTTGTTCTTCTGCAGTGACACCAATAGATCCAGCTTTGCCATGTAGAGTTTGATATAATATATTATGCCGTTGTCGAAACTTTACGATCCATCCGTAGCTAAATTCTGGCGTAGGTAGTCCACGGTATTGTGGTAGCTGATTCCAGATAATCTTCGTCTTTGATTGTAAGATTTCTGTAGTTGTAATGCCGCCACGCTCTTCAATAAGCCTCTGCCAGTCGTAAAGAGCAGCTTCTAATTCAGGCCAGGCGACAGTGCGGCGACGCTGAGCTTTAGAGCTGTTTGTTTCCAGAGTATTAGAAGTATCGTCAAGGTCCAAAAATTGAGAGCTAAGGGATTCTGAGACTGTAGATTGGCTAAGTCGATGATTGTATTTCGCGAGGAACCACTGTATATGTAATGGTGGGTGCACCAGATATGAGAATCTAGCCACCCAAGGAAGGGATGAATTTACTAAGACAACACACTGTCTTAGGAAACAGAGCCAAAGGGTTGTAGCTTAGACTATTCCACAACGCAGCAATCAGGTGTATGATGTGGTGAAGTGGTTTAGACAAGTTGCAACAAATGTTGAGTCTGAGAACTCAGGGGTAAGTCAGAGGTTAGCACCTCACTGACTTTTCAAAAACAGAGAATAACAAGATCAATGCTTGGAAGCTTGGAAAAGACGTAGAAGTATGTGCTAGTCGATTTACTGTATTGCCTGCTTGCCCTTTCTTAAGGAAAGGGCAATCCTATTTATGCCAAAGGAGTGTAGTTCTCTTATTTTCCATGACTTTCCATGACTAACCAGGCTTGGTAAATGTATTAGAAATCAAGTGCGACCCACAACTAGCTTGCTAATCATGTAGTGAACGTAAGAGAATCCCATAGAACCATCTCTTGGGTTCCTAGCCTATAGGAAGTGAAAAGGAGGTCCAAGGTCAGAGTACCTATAGACAAATTATGTCATAACTTAACCAATCTTGTGGGTAACTAAGGAGCGATGACGTGTAATGAATCATAGAGGGTTGTAGAAGCTTCTAGAGCTATCGTTCATGTTCCTAGGCCTCTAGTTGGTAGAGATATGCCATGTGGTAGTATTGGCCCACCCCCTTAAGGAGGAGATTTTCTTAATAACTTGTTCAATGAGTGTCCAAATGATATGCCGTGATGTATGTAGCATAAACAGATGTAGTAGAAGAGTTTGCAGCAATCGTTGAGTAGTATTGCTTCTGTTGTTGGTGTGATAAGCCAAGATATGTATGGTGACTTGTAGGTTTGAGGAGGAGATTTCTAAGTTTGCTCTTGAGTTTGATAGCAAACTGAGTGCAACGAATGTCAGTATGACAGTATAGTGGCCTTTTGTGTAGGTTTCGGATGGTGAGATCGATGCCAGGTTCGGAGGGCTTTTCGCTGTTCGAGAGACATAGAATAGAGCTTTTTCGAAGGCATTTTGAAGGTATTCTAAGAGTAGTCCAGTAATTAGTTTAAGTCGATAATTGGGAAAAGGGACTCAATATCGTGTGTATCGTGATTTGTATGACGAATGAAAGGATCCGAAGAAAGTTATCGAGTTATCCAGAAAATCGACTAATCGTGTATCGACTTAACGAGATAATACTGTATAGACGTTCTCGTGCGGGGTAGTTACCGAGGGAAGACCCTCCGACTTGGCACAGCAGCACACGTGACTCGACTCAGCACGTGAGGCTGCTCGTGACAGATACCTACCGACGTGCTATCTTCAACAACAACGACGCATTTTCAAGTTTTGCAATAGTTATAATTAGCAGGATAGAATAGGATGTAATATGCACTCTCCACCCGACGTCGAGACTTCGCTATGCTCTCGCCATCCACACAGTAGCAGCGTCAAGTGTTCGATGGGGATCTCACCTGGCCATGACGTCGAGTCTGGGCTGGTATCCCTTGCCAATCCTCAGAGACCAAAGGCACCTACGATAACAGTCACTCCAGGTGTGAGTTTGCCCACATGCGCCTCTCGTCTCACTTCGCCCTGTCTCACTCCATCCTGTCTCACTCCATCCTGTCTCACTCCATCCTGTCTCACTCCATCCTGTCTCACTCCATCCTGTCTCACTCCATCCTGTCTCCCTCATCAGACCATCTTACAGGCCTCTCAGGATGACCGCGATATTTCATCGACGACGGGTTTAGCAACGTCCTGTGATGCGCCCCAACGCGTTGTCGCCGTCGATAATGCCTTGCAGCCGCTTTTGGGACCTGGCGCAGGGCGCGGCCGAAGTTCTTCGTCGTCCTCTTTTGCGTCGTCTCTTCGGCCTGACGCACCACCCAAGCGTATCTTTCCCAACATTCCCATCGACGCGTCTGCGTTAGGAAGTCTGGAGCCTTACCCTCGCTCGCCTTCTTTCCATGATGGGTCCTCGACCACCACCATGGCTCCAGTATTCTCTATTGGAAGATCGCGCGCGTCTTCGGGGATAACTGTGATGAGACACGAAGACAACGACAATATTCTAGCGCCTGATCCTGGTAAAGGAGTTTCTTCTCACATCGAGGATAATCCGTTTGCGTTCGGCCCTAATGTGATCGCCGAGGTGATTGCTTCAAAAAGCCTCACGGAATTTCAAGCGTTAGGTGGACTCGCAAAGCTAGCACAAGGCCTGCGGACAGATCTTTTCACTGGCTTGAGCCTAGACGACGCATGGCTACACGACACTATTCACAGCGGGTCAGCGTCGCGAGCTACGGCGGCGAGACATCAAGAGAGTTACCAGGATTTGCAGGCTAGGAGGGCTGTGTATGGGACGAATCGTCTCCCAGACCAGAAGACAAAGGGTATCTTCGAGCTCATGATTTTGGCACTTAGCGACAAGGTCTTAGTTCTTCTCTCCGTTGTCGCCATTATCTCTTTCTTCTTAGGTCTGTATCAGGCTTTCGGTCAGCCTCATGAGCCGGGCCAACCACGTGTCGAATGGGTGGATGGCGTTACAATCATGGCTGCTGTTATCATCGTCGTCGTCACGGGGGCCTTGAACGACTATCAGAAGGAACGGCAATTTGCTCGACTTAACAAGAGGGTGAGCTATTTTCTAATCTCACGACGACTCTCATTCCACGACTATATTACTGGGATAACGTGCAAGGGCTAACATTTGGTATGCAGAAAGAAGATCGCATGGTCAAAGCAATCCGATCGGGGAGGTCGGTAGAAATTTCCATATATGACGTCCTCGCAGGTGATGTGCTGCACCTAGAGCCTGGAGATCTTGTCCCGGCGGACGGTATTCTAATTTCCGGTTATACTGTTCGATGTGATGAATCTTCCATGACTGGAGAATCCGAACAGATACAAAAAGTCACTGGGGGCGAGGCCCTGGCTAAACTACATACGTCCGGAGATGTGGACAGCTTAGATCCCTTCATCATCGCTGGGAGCAAGATTTTAGAAGGAATTGGCACGTACATTGTCACAGGCGTCGGTATGAACAGCACACACGGGCGACTGATGATGAGTCTGACAGAGCGTACCGACGAAACACCATTACAAAAGAAGCTGAGCATTGTGGCGGACAAAATTGCCATAAGTGGAGTGGCCGCGGCCGGGGTCTTGTTCGTTGTTCTCACAGCCAAGTTCCTGAGTCAACTTTCGGGAAGCCACGACTCTCCATTTGAACAGGTCCAGGCATTCCTGCGAATATTCATCGTCTCGATCGCCATTGTTGTTGTAGCTGTCCCAGAAGGACTACCTCTGGCTGTCACACTAGCACTGGCAATCGCTGTGACACGAATGCTGAAGGATAACAACCTTGTGAGGATCTTGTCGGCTTGTGAAACGATGGGAAATGCGACTACTGTGTGCTGCGACAAAACGGGGACCCTCACCGCGAACAGGATGACAGTTTGTGCGGGAACTGTAGGCGTTGCGGGTCGGTTTTTGGATGAGGGGAGTCAACCAGGCGGTAGCCAATCACGACATGGTTCTATTAGGCCCAGCTCATACACAAGCATGGAAGGAACACCAGGAAGTTCTGCTTGGAAGGATGGGGCTGTTCCGACGGGGAAGTTTTGTTCTCTACTTGCCTCAGACCTCCGAGACATCATGGTGAAATCCATCGCCATCAACTCCACTGCCTTTGAAGGCGAGGAAGACGGCATGCGGGCTTATATCGGTTCGAAGACCGAGGCTGCACTCTTGACATTCGCGAGAGACTGGCTGGGAATGCAACCACTCCATGAAGAACGCGCAAACGCTGAGGTGGTTGAAGTTTACCCATTCAACTCGACCAGAAAGTGCATGGCTGTTGTGACACAGCTGCCCTATGGCTCGCATCGAATATATCTAAAAGGAGCGCCTGAAATTGTCTTGGAGAAGAGCAGTCGAGTCATTTCTAAGACAACTTCCCAGCTGAGCGAGCACGTACATTTGACAAAAGATAGGCTTGACGTGCTGACGGGAGCCATCAATGAATACACGTCTCAGTCGTTGCGGGCTCTTGGCTTCGCATACAGGGACTTACCATCATGGCCTCCCCCAGGAGATGAGGTAGGCGAGGACATATTTGCCGACATGACGTTCTTAGGCGTCCTGGGACTCCAGGATCCGCTCAGACCTGGAGTTGAGGCGGCTGTTGCACTGTGCCAGCATGCAGGAGTATTTGTAAGAATGGTGACCGGCGACAACGTCAGAACAGCTCAGGCGGTTGCGAGAAAATGTGGCATTCTCACGGAATCCGGTGTTATTATGGAAGGCCCAGATTTCAGAAAATTGTCCATTCCCGAGATGGACAGCATACTGCCGCATCTGCAGATGCTCGCAAGATCTAGTCCAGAAGATAAGAGGATGCTTGTGAAGAGACTAAAAGAGATAGGAGAGACCGTAGCCGTGACAGGCGATGGCAGTAATGACGGCCCAGCTTTGAGAGCGGCAGATGTTGGGTTTTCGATGGGTATCTCTGGCACTGAAGTTGCCAAGGACGCATCGTCAATCATCTTGATGGATGACAACTTCTCGTCGATTGTCAAGGCAATTGAATGGGGTAGGACGGTGAACGACGTAATCAAGAAGTTCCTTCATGTTTGTTTACATATTAAAGAGTGGAGCGAATCTCGACTAACATCAATCACAGTTTCAACTTACGGTTAATGTCACTGCAGTCACGCTCACCTTCGTATCTGCGGTTGCAAGTGACAAGGAAGAATCCATACTTACCCCGGTTCAGCTGCTTTGGGTGAATCTCATTATGGACACCTTCGCTGCTCTCGCTCTCGCCACGGAGCCTGCGAACCCAAATGTTCTTGAGAGGGAGCCAGAGAGGAAAACGGCACCACTGATCTCGCCTACTGGCTGGAAAATGATCATTGGACAAGCTATATACCAACTCATTATCGTCATGATTTTATATTTTAAAGGAGGCGAGATGCTTGGATATACGCAGCCGGAGGATATGGAAAGACTCCAGACGCTGATCTTCAACGCTTATGTCTGGATGCAAGTTTTTAATCTGACCAAGTAAGCTATCAAATGGGGTTTGCCGAGCCTCTTCCAAAGCTAACTATGCGCCAGCAACCGTCGACTTGACAGCAAGCTCAATGTATTCAGTGGCATCCTCCAGAACCCGTTCTTCATTGCTGTCAATATTGTCATCATTACAGGTCAAGTTCTCATCATATTCTTTGGGGGCAGCGTGCTCTCTACGACACGGCTCTCCGCAAAGGAGTGGGCAATATCTCTTGTCTTGGGATTCGCGTCTCTTCCCGTTGGCATGTTACTTCGTCTCACTCCCGACGTATCACTTCAGCGAATCCTCACCTTCCGGGTGGGTAAGCAGAGGTCAAGGGAGACTCTGGCGTCGGAGGCTTCTGAGGGCGACCAGTGGCACCGTGCCATCGAGAATGTGCGTTTTAAGCTTGGTTCTAAAAGACAACCCCGCAGCTCGCGATGGGAACGTCTGCGACATGGGATTTTACCCTTGGTCAAGGCAAAAATATTTGGAGGGGCCCGGGATGATGGAGAGGTGGACGAAATAAGCCCTTTACTTCCTTTCAATAGCAGACAGGATCTCTCACGGACAAGTTCGATTTGTTCACCTGCTGCTGCAGTCATGGCAGGCATTGTCGCAGGGGGGGTGGCTGGATGGCCACGTGTACCAGATGAGACATAAAATTTAGATCTCTAGCTATAAATTTTCTATGTTCTAGTTTAGAATCATCTGCTTTCTCGTATTCACTATTCGCACCTCCCCTGGGCAGTCTTGCCCAAGCTATTTTTAAAAAACCATCGAATAGTTCAGCGGTTAGTGGGGGACAAGGGCTACACATTTCATTAGCGACGAGTTGTCATCCAGGCTGCACGACTCAGTAGGAAAGAACTTGTTAATATCAAGGCTAAAGATGCATCTGTGATTAGCTTGGCGCAGATCCGTGGCTAAGCATCTGCGATCGGCTTGGCGATCGGCTTGGCTTGTATCGACTTGGCGATCGACTTGGCGCCGAGTTGGGCAGAATAACGTTCGGTTTGTTTTAGTGAGCGATCATGCGAAGCTCTGGCAATACTTTTGCGGGTCGTTACAATCATACAGGAGGGGGATAGTATATGCTTGACTAATGCAATAAACACTAGCAACAAGAGAATGCTGCAGAGCCTCATTGAGAGCGGGAAGTATGAGAAGGTCACATCGCCACAGTGGTTAATCCTGTTCTTTGCACTGATCGTTTAGGTGGCGATCGGTCCGGCACTGTCCTTCGATTCAAACTGGTGGCTCCTCATCGGCACGTATGCCGGGCTGATAGGCATGAACGACGGATTCGTGCTACGCAATGTGCACAACGTACTACACGGCTACGAAGATGCCCAGTTTGTCCAGGTGACGTACTACACGGCTATGAAGATGCCCAGTTTGTCCAGGTGACGTACGACGACATGGACATGCTTGCTGTGATTGGCGTCACGCAGCTCAATGAAGAGCCCGTCGCGGCCAACTCACTCACCTACCGAATCTCGGTCAAGATGGGTGACTTCTGCTCACACGAACTCACGGTCGTGTTTAGGGCCATCATGATCCTAGACCTGATCGTTGGCGCCAGTGCGATGGGCTGGAGGCTCGTAATGTCCCGCCTAGTATCATCGAATCATTCTTCACGATGATCCTGATCACTAGATACAGAGATGCTAAGAGGCGTGTCGGCCTTCACAACATCTACCGACGGAGCTTACGGAGGTCAAGATTGATTCGCTTTAGGCGAGTAAGAGCTACGAGAAGTGTAGAAAAGCAAAATTGAGTTGGATAGGGGGAGGAGCTAATATTATGACGCCTTTGTTCAACACAACGGTCAATTTAGCTTCAGTAGCCTCTAAAAGCTTTGTTGAATTACCTGATTTTTCGCGTTGATTTAAATATAGAGATCATGATCTCAAGTAGTTGCTTTCCTTTTACAATACTATCGTCCTTAACCACTGTCCTACGTTGCTGTTGCTTCGTGCCTTGTAGGGCTATTAGTACCTAGTGGGGTTGAAATGCTGAGTTTCGTTTTTGAATCTCTGAGAGTCTGTATGAAATGGAATATGAGCGCTATTGATTGTTCAAGAGTTGCTTTACCTTACCAAATACCTCTAATCCATTCTTTCCCGCCTGCATGTTCGGCGAGAGAACTGTGCGGCTTGTATCGTCCTAGTTAGTAGCGAATGAGTCTCTGCAAGGCACGTCCGGTCATATGCGTATACCCCATCACCCCCTCCACTAAGCTAGTTGTATCAACCTTCCTAAAACATTTCAACACATCCCCCCCGTAGCCACGCGAACAGCATACATATCTACATTTGCCTTTCGAAAAAATTATAATTACTGCATTACCCAAACACCTATACCTGCTATTAAACTACACCCACCCCGCTACCCAACCTAGGTGCTATCGCCATCCAGATGCGTTTTGAGACTCCTTATACCAACCATCCACCAACCTATTATACGCCACAACCCTGAGGTCACCCTTCCTCCAACCCAAGGATTAGCCCGCTATTAAAACCATAACCCCCACCACTTCAAAACTACCCAACACCCCCACCACCCGCTACACTTTCCATACCTCCCATCCCTATCCCTCCTCCCCCTCCCATCCCCATCCCCATCCCCATACCCATCCCCCCCTCCCCTCCCCCACCTCCAATCCCCAACCCCCCCAAACCCACCCCCCTCCCCCCCCTCCCAACCTTCTTAGCCCACCTCAATCCACAGCCATTACACAAATCCCTCTTCCCACTCGGACCCCTCCTCCACTCCGGCGTCGTCCGCGCCTGACAATTCGCACAATCCCTCTCTCCCCCACCCCCCTGCTCCTTCCTCCTCTTCCGCTTTCTGCGGAGAGAGAGTAGGGCCGAGAGTTCGGTGGTGAGAGAGGTGTTGTGGCGGGTTAGGGATGTGAGTTCTGACTGCCAGGATGTACACCTCGCAGGCTGCAATTCCGTAATCAGCGGCGTCTCCAAGCCCGTCGACTCATCCGCCACAGCAGAATTACCCGCCTGGTTAGACGCCCTCATGCTCGGCTTCACCAACCTCGTCAACGCCACCAAAAACCCACACTTGCCCCCATCCCCCGCAAACAAACTAGTAACAGCCAAAACCCCCACCCCCCTCTTATTCCTAACCTCATGCCTCCACCCCCTCCCCCCCCCCCCCCAAGAAATTCCTCAAACCCCACCCTCTGCTCCCCCGGCAACAGAGCCTGGAAGCTCGTCCCCACCAACGAAACGGGTGAGCGATCGAGGAGCGTGCGGACGGAGGCGGAGATGTATAGGATTAACCCCGATGTGGAGAGTTTGCTCCAGATATCGGAGTCGGTTGGTGCGGAGAGGGAGAGGGTGGTATGGGGGAGGGAGTAGATGGGGCGTTCGCGGCTGGTTATGAGGAGGGTTTTGAGAGTGCTGTTGCTGGGGGTGCTGGAGGGGCGGAGGCGGCCGTGGGTTTCGAACCAGATGTAGCCCCGTGTTGCGTGGCGGATGCGGAAGATGGAGGTTATGCTCCCCCCGCCGGTTGAGGAAGAAGCATCCTTTAGATCCCGCATCACGGACACGATATCACTCGGATGACAAATAGTCGATAGAGCCGTCCCGACTAACTCCTCAGGTGCATACCCGAGGATCCGCTGGCTCGAGGGTGAGACGTAGAGGAAGTGCCCTGTGGGTGAGAGGATGTGTATCACATCCGGGCTATTCTCCAGCAGAAGCGTGTCCCGGAGACCAGTGCGATCGTAGTTCAGCCCGGCTTGGTAGGATGTTAGTAATGTCGAGACCTCCCCCGGGCTGAGCGTTACGGTGGTGTCGAGGTGCGGTGGGGTGGGAAGAGGAGGGCGGGGAGTGTAGGGCGGGAGGTGGTGCTGGGAGTAGTTGACTGAGTAGGTCCCGGTTGTGCTTTTGGAGATGATGGCGGAGGGGTTATCGACGAGGTCGATTTGGAATCCGACGTAGTATTTCACTTCCTCCGTGTCCCAGGTTATAGGAACCATAGTGAGGAGGTTAGTGAATGGCTGCCCCCCCTTTCGATAATTAATCAAACTGCATTGTACCTCTCGCCTCTTCAACACCCCCCGTTTTAAGGCATATACAGCAGCATCATCGACGTATTTCCTCTTCTGCCCCTTTTTGGATTTGCCGTCGGGGGATTGAAGGAATCGACAGTTCTTCATCCACACCTCGTTCTTGTTGTAGCCGGTGAGACGTGAGAAGATCTCCGAGGCGTAGATTATGGGGTTATCGGGCATGGTGGCGTCGCAGACTACGAAGGCACACGACATGTCGACGGAGCCGAGGTCGGTCTCGGGGTTGGTTCGCGAGGTAACTTTCATTAGTATACCTTCGATGTTGAACCCGCTGCTGGAGTTATGGTTCGTAAATGTGGTATTCGTAGTGGAGCTAACGGGTCCGTTAAACGCCTCTGCGGTCGTTGTGAGAACTAGCGGGGAGTATGTCTCCATATTAGGCATTTCAAGAGGTATTGATGGAATCGTAGGAATCGAAGGGATTGACGTCGTAGCGTATAATACTGGGCTTTGAGTCATGCCGGTGCTAAATTCGACACGGTTGATGCGTCTTGGTATATGGCTATTACGCTGGGATGTATTGTGGGATTCGACAAGAGGCATTTCGCCGCGTGAGCCATGGCCTAATGACACACTTGATGTGCCACTGTTGACCTGTGATGCTGCGCTGAGTGCGAATTCCGAGGAAATGGGGTCCATAGACGGGCCTGAGAATGGCTGTGTGAAGCTACTTGGGTTGAAGATGATGGGTGCCTGGGTCTCCTGCATCCCAGGAAACGCCATCATATCGCTCATCATATTCGTTGGTATTCCTTGAGGAGGGAGGGCCTGGTAGGCGGTGGGAGATTCAATGGCGACGGAGGTTTGGGCCATTAGTGAGAAATTTGTCGGGTTTCCGGCCATATCCATATCCATATTCGCCCCCATGTCGCCGTATCCTCTCGATACATCTAATTCCTGTATCGAAGGCCTCCTGCTGTGGACATTGATATCTCCGTATCCCACTGCCACCTCTAGTTCTTGTATTGAAGGTCTCCTGCTCTGGATACCAATGTCTCCATACCCTCTTGGCACCTCCAGCCCTTGCATCGAAGGCCTCCTGCTTTGCACTAGAAGGCTTGCGTTCGACGCGGCAGAAGTAAACTGGAAGTTATTGAGAGCCGCCTGACCCGAGCCGAATTCCATCATAGAGCCTCTGCGATTCTGAATAGGCGTATATATATCATCCATATCGCCTCCAAACTGCTGCAGAGGCAAGCTCTGCCGCCGCAGAAGCTCCTTGCTATTCTGGCGCACAATATCATCCAGCGTATCTCCTCCCCCCATCAAATCAGACATATTCGTCATGTCCATAGCCTCGTTTTCGCATACCGGCCCCAGCATGGCCATGCCCATGGCCTGGCTTCCAATATCATTTTGTGGGTATCGCCGTTGAGCAGACTGCTGCTGCTGCTGCTGTGGCTGTTGCTGCGACCGATCCTCGCGAGTATATTGCGGCCCGAAGAATTCATGCATGGCGCTGCCAGTTGCGTCATGAGGCGGTCGTCGTCCTGGATATCGTGCGTATAGGTATCATGGAGGCTTCCTTCGGCACGCGATGTCCACTATCCGGGAAGTCGCGCAGCCTATACCGACGATGATCCCCCACACCGCACGAGAGGCGCTTAAGTCCAGCTATATACCGCGCAAGGTGCAATTGGGGCAGGCAATATGACTGCCTGGGGGAAAGTGAGAGTTCTTCCCGAATCGAGGGCGTCGAAGCCGTGACTAGAATGCAAGGCTGGAATTCGGACAGCGCGTCGGGGAGTGGCGGAGAAGACACAAACATAGAGTCTCTGCGTGGTCCCAGCGCGTCAGATACAGGGCGAGGCATAGACGTGAGGAGCGTGTGTGTGTGTGCTCTATAGCGGGACTTGCAAAGGAGCGGCGTGTGGGAGGATTAGAGTTGGTCCGCGTGGAAGGTCTGCATTTATTCCATAATCATACCGCCGTTATCACACTCCAGGAGAGGGCGCATATGCAAGACAGCTAGTGTCTTGTTTCAAGAGGGATTCTTTGCGTTCTTTGCATTCTTTGTGTTCTTTGCATTCTTTGCGTTCTTTGCGTTCTTTGCGTTCTTTGCGGTCTTTGCGTTCTTTGCGTTCGTTGGGGGGGATTTTGTGGATTTTTGGTCACATACGATAGAATAACAAAAGAGACGGGGCTGGGGAGGGGATGGGGTACGACATATGGACTAGGAATCTCGGTACTCATCTGACATGTACCAGTACATCGGAGAGTGAAAGGGCGGGGAAGATTGGGAGGAGATGGAGGAGGAGATGGAGGAGGAGATGGAGGAGGAGATGGAGGGGGAGATGGAGATTTCTGGGAGGGTGGGAAGACGAGAAAGGGAGACGAGAGGGGAAGTGAGAGACAGTAAGGAGAGTTCTAGCCTACCACAGGGGGTTTGTGGCACTGGCATCCTAAGAGATTCCCCGTAGATTCGGGGTAGATTTGCACTGGATTCCCCGTAGATCGGGGTAGATTTGCACTGGATTCCCCGTAGATCGGGGTAGATTTGCACTGGATTCCCCATAGATTCCGGGTAGATTTGCACTGGATTCCCCGTAGATCGGGGTAGATTTGCACTGGATTCCCCATAGATTCCGGGTAGATTTGCACTGGATTCCCCGTAGATCGGGGTAGATTTGCACTGGATTCCCCATAGATTCCGGGTAGATTTGCACTGGATTCCCCGTAGATCGGGGTAGATTTGCACTGGATTCCCCATAGATTCCGGGTAGATTTGCACTGGATTCCCCGTAGATCGGGGTAGATTTGCACTGGATTCCCCATAGATTCCGGGTAGATTTGCACTGGATTCCCCGTAGATCGGGGTAGATTTGCACTGGATTCCCCATAGATTCCGGGTAGATTTGCACTGGATTCCCCGTAGATCGGGGTAGATTTGCACTGGATTCCCCATAGATTCCCCGCTGGATCTCCGGCTGGTTTCCAGGAAGTTCTCGGTCAGTTGCTTGGAAGTACTGGTACCAGACGTTGTGCTTGGGCTGCATGTACATTCTTTGTACGCCCCTTTTGGTCTTGATGTCTTATATCTGATATCGCGCTTGGCCTTGGAGTTGCAGCCAGTAGAAGAAGCCGGAGGTATGGTCTAGTGCTAGTATATAGCTATCCCATAAGTTATAAGTTATACCTATATACCTTAGGTAAGGAGTAGTGGACTCGTACAGCATAAAGGCCTAGATGAGTAAATTAGTTAAAAGGGGACGGACTGAATAACGAGCACTTGCAAACAATACTGGAATTACTCGAGTAACCTGAGGCCTGGGATATCATATAACGAGCTGCCGAATTTAATATAACGAGTCTCTCACTCTAGGGTATAAGTCTAGGGTATAAGGGGTTGTTGTGTTGCTATGTTGTTATGATATGAGTTTGTTGTAGTTTACGACGTGTAACTAGTGTGGAACTTATAGCGTGAGAATATACCGCTAAGTTGTAGGTGGCGGATTAGGATTAGAGTGAGTACCACTAAACAGTAGAGACAGTAGGTATCTACTACCGTCATTTAGTAGGCAGATACAGTAGAATAGGCCACTAGCAGTGACTTGGCTACTCTAAGTTTCACCAGTCACTCGTGTTAGTCCAGTTACTGTAGTTACTGTGGTTACCACTAACTCTACTTACCACTATAGTTCACGTCTGGAACAGCCCGCTCCGCTAGCTACGGCGGCGGAAATATACCAAAGTAACTCTGCTAAGCTTCATCGGTTTACGCTTTACTGGGCAAGAAACTGCCCAAGCTTCACGTCACAACATAAGTTACCTCTTGTGTTATACACTGCGCGCCTTCACCTTCCCCCAAGCTTGAATTACCTCACTGTCGTCCTCTCCAAACAACGACCACGCGTCATTTACCTGTGGAAAGCCACACACGACACTGGCTACGCCGCCTCGCTCACAATGGGCTTCTCAGAGCGCTTCCTCCGCACCGAACAGAACGTTCAATTGAGGTGTGCAACCTTCCTCCCCGCTTTGAGACATTATGACTGACCTGACTCCATCAACAGCTACGAGCTCTCCCACCGAATCTACACAGCCGCGCCATACCCCACCCTCGCACCTAATGGCTCCTCAATCGTCATCTGCGGTCACGACCAGGGCGTGCTCATCATCTGGCGGGGTGGCCGCACCTTCAAGCCCGCCGCGGCACCAAAGGCAAACGGAAACGGAGCCTCAAACAATGCAGTCATGATCATTGACTCGGACGAGGAGGCGCCTGATGCTGCCGAGGAGGAGGCAGAGTTTGAGGACGAAGAGGCCGAGACTGACCCGTCTCGTCCGTTTCCTCCAGTGCTACAATATATTGATCTCATGTTTGGCACCAGTGCGACGCACCTGGCGGTCTGTGCGGCCGTGCAAGATAGGATTGTCTTTGCTGCCACCTGTGGGGATAGCTCAGTTCGGCTTGTGTCTCTGCCGATAACGCCGCCGTCGCCCGAGAGGAAGGTAACGAACAAATCGAGGAATTGGGCCGAGACTGTTGTTACTCTATCCGGATTCTCGACCCCTGCTGATGGGGTTGCCATGACATCCGTCAAGGAACAGGACGAAAAGACCAAATCGAGTGGTTATCTGCTTGTGGCCTCTCATTCGAGGGAAGTCACAGGCTTGCTGATACTCCACAAAGTGCCAGTCTTTTCTGCGCAAAAAGGAGGGAAGATGACCGAGAGGCTGTCACAAGACCACACTGCCCCATTCCAGACGCAGTATCTGTCAACTCCAGCCTCAAGCCTCGACTTCAGCCACTCCTCAAACAATTTACTTCTCGCAGACAAGACAGGGGCAATCAGAATCTACTCTCCCGACGTCTCCGACGGATCCTGGCTCCTAACCCTCCACACTGACTTCATAAAGTCCGACACTGCAAAATTCTCCTCCCGCAAGGCCATCCTCGACACCAAGTGGGTCCTCGGCGGCAAAGCCGTCATGGTCCTCCTTGCCGACGGCGAATGGGGCGTCTGGGACCTCGAAGGCTCCGGCCCCGGCGCATCAAGAGGTATCCTCGGTAGCCAGGGCATCAAGGGCGGCGCCCTAACCCCCTTCTCCATCTCCGGCTACATCGACGGACCACCCATCAAATCAACCTCCCGCCCCACAGCCTCAACCTCCAAATTCGCCCCCATGACCCCTGCCACCCGCCGCACCGTCGAGCCCGCCCTCCTAGGCTCGCACAACCAATCCGCCACCGCGGGACTCATCTCCGCTCTACCCCTCCCGAAAACGACAACTACCAGCCCGGCAGATGAGCGTATCGCGTTCTGGATCGAAGACGCCTACGCCGTTATCCCATCTCTTCGCTCTTTTTGGGAAGCCCAGCACCGCCGCGGCGCGAACCTCTTCAGCGGCGCTTCAGGAACCAAGATGCTTCGCATCGACGGCGTCAACCTCTGCGGCGAACGCTGCACCGGCCTCGCGCAGAGTGTGGTCGATGGCAGCACACCCGAGCTCATCGTCGCAGCCGAGCACCGTCTGGTCATCGTAGCAGACCTCCCCGAGTCTGGCGGAGCACAAAAGCCCCGAGTACCAGCGCTAGAGAGCGGTGCAGGCCAACTACAGATCGCAGCCGCGCGCAGGGATCTGGATATCACGGGCATCGACCAGATGCTGGATCATATGGATGAGGATGGTGGGTCGCCGCTGTTTGCGAAGAGGAAGTCGATACAGAATTGATGACCTCCCTATCCCAATTGCGCATTAAAAGTTAACGGTCGAGATTTGTTTTAGATACCCAATACAGCGATTTCCTGGATCCCCCCGCCGTACTATATGTGTTCCCCCTTTCATCTTTTCCCCATTCTCATTTCTTATCTCTCTTCATCTCCCTTCTCACTACCCACCCACCCCACCGCTCCCCCACCAACTTCCCCACCCCCCATCCCCATGACACAACCCGCAAGGCAAGGTGGAGTACAAGGCAAGACCCATCCTTGAAACTCTGTATTCCATGCGGAACATCAACCTCGTGCATGCATACCATGCACAAACGAGTAGCCAGCGCGCTGGATCCTACGTCCCCCTGCCCTACGGCATGGACGTGTGGAGGCGCGCTGTGTCTAGGCAATTCTTCTATTCCCGCGAGGCAGGTGCAGGACGTTGGGCGTTTCTGTGAGCTGGGCGGGTTATAACGGTTGCTACATTTTTTGTTTTTTCGCTTGTAGATAGCTTAATAAGATATATATCTTGATTCTTACTTTGATGAAGGATGTTTTATTTATATCATGAGTTTAATGAAGGACGTTTCATTTATATCTTGACTTTAATGAAGGATGTTATCATTTAAATCTTGCATCTTAGCTGACTGAAGTAGCTTAGCTATCATAACACACCATACTGCCTCTAATGAAATATGCCACATCCACGTTAATTCCATCCATCACTGCCATTAACGCATAGATCCACTAACTCACTAGATAAGCGCTGTCGTGCAGCGCACCTACAAAGCACAGCAAGCAGAACAAAAACAGACTGACAGAACTGACAGGAACTGACAATATAAATCACAAGACGCCAAAAGGTGCGTCCGGTGGACAAGCAACAACCTTTCTTTTCCCATTTCCCTTCCCACCCCGCCGGTACCAGCCGCCGTGTTCCAGTCCCATTTCCAAAAAAGCAAATCCAAAGCACCATCCAGAATAAAACAACAACACACATAGCGCATCGTATCGTATCGTACACCAAACCCACTTTTCACCCCAAGGGGCGAGCGAGGCAGGGAGAAAGGGAGAAAGGGAGAAGTTGAAAAGGCCAAGCAACTAATCAATCCACACCCCCGCTCCCTCCCCAAACAACTCCTCCACATCCCCCACCCCCCCTCCAAACCCCTCAAACTCCTTCCCCCCCACAAACCCCAATAAATCCCCCTCCTGCGCCCCCACCATCGGCAACCCCTCCCCAAACGCCTCAAGGAACATCTCATCCGCATCCTGCTGCCCCTGCCCACTAGGCATATCATAGAACGACAAACTCGCGCTCGGCGACGACGCCTCAAACGTCGACGTGCACAGGTCAGGCGGCGAGCGCGCACTCAGCGTCGGGCTGGTCGCTGCGGCGGTGTGGTGGGAGTGGTGCGAATAAGTAGGGCTTGCGGCATTCTGGATTGTTTGGGGGGAGATACACTGCGTCTCAGCCGCCACAGTGACGGGCTGCATCGCGTATTCCAACTCCGCGTCCACGCCAGCGCCAACAAACGGATCAGCGGATGCATACGGACTATGCGCGTACTTGGAAAATGGTGGGGCATCAAGGACATCGTAATCCGCCTGCGGCGCGGGCGACAGGCCATACGAGCTCTCTGAGTACTCCGACGCTGAAGACGGCGCCTCGGATGACGGGTTACTCGCCGGCGCTGCCGCAGCGGCGTTCTTATTCTTCGTCCTTGTCCGCTGCGTCTTATTGACGCGCTCGTCGTGCTCGGGGCGGTGCTTGCGTGGTCGTCCGCGCTTGACGACTTTCTTAACTACGCCCTCAAAGGCACCAACGCACATCCCGCGCTGGCGATGACGGGTCAGCGCATCGTGGCGCGCGAAGCTGTTGCCGCATGCGCAGGGATACGGCTTGACGCCGCTGTGGATCTTGGCGTGGCGCTTGAGATCGTGCTGCCGGACGAAGCACTTGCGGCAGTGCGGGCACTGGAATTGGCGGTCGCCGAGGTGGGTCTGCACGTGGGACTTGATATTTTCCTTGCGCCCAAAGCGCTTGTTGCAGAAGGGGAAGAGGCAGAGGTATTTCTGGTCGGTGGGGGAGGGGCCGGAGATGTAGCACGCGATGTCGTCGGTGGTGATGCCGGTTTCGGCGTGGGCTTCATCGGCGTGGCAGGTGCTGTCTTCAGAGAAGGAGCGGTGGTGGAGGGAGGAGGATTGCATGGGGGAGTTGGCTTGGCTGGAGAATTCCTCGGGGTCGGGGTACGATCCATTGGGGGCATCGAGGTGTGGCTTGTTGTCCAAGGGGTCGCGGTAAAGTAACCTTTGGGGTAGTTCTGGTGAGGAGGATTGGGAGTGGAAGTTCTGAGGAGGGTATTTCGAGTGGGTTGGTGATTGATGGGGTGACTCGTAACTCCTGGGCTCGGTCTTGACGTATTGCATACCAATGGACGATGAGTTTGGCATTGGGCTGTTGCTAGGAGGAGATGGAGAGTCGCCCATCTCCGCCTGGATACGCATGTGCTGGAAGTTTGAGAGGGATTGGCGATTCCTGCGGTGGGTTGGCTTGATGGTGGCCTCCATGGAAGTATCATAGTCGCCAGAAAATGCTTGCGGCATGTGTTTTACCTTTGCATGGCGAGTAAATGGTGTTTGTGTTGGAGTGAGGGGAATGTAGTCTGTCATGCTGTTAGTAATGGAATACAGGATATGTGAAAATACATACTCGGAGAATCATGATTAGGAGGCGTGATTGGCCTTGAAGATGACTGCCTAGCAGATAAATCTTCATACTGCGCCACTCTATCGGCAATGTTGCCACTGACCCGACGGCTATGCGAAGACCTGTTGGGCTTGATAGTTGCGTTCCAACTTTCTTGCGCCTGCGAGCCATCGAATGCCATTGAAAAGTCAACATATGCTGAAGGAGTGGTCTCCTCATCCTGGTAGAGAAGAGAGTCATTGCCGGCGAACTGGCCATTCCTGGCGTGCGTGTTCTCGTTGACTCCGTTTATCGAATTGATCGGTTCGGGGTATGCTGAATACGAAGCGCGTTTTTTTGAGGCTCCATACACATCGATACACCCGATACCAAAGTTTTTCCTTTGCGGTGTGACAAGAGGCGATATTAAGTAGTTCTCATCGTCTGTCGGGTTGAAAAAGCGTGTCGGTTGTTGGCCCTGGCATGCCAGTCTGTGCAGCTGCGTTTCTTGCAATATATGCTGTTGGTTGTCGTTAAATCCTTGGTTAGTGATACTTCCTGTGTCCTGCGTTGGTGATTGGCGTCGTCGTTGATCCAGGCTCATGCCTCGTCGGTGTGAGGCATTCTTCTGGTTTGTTGGCAGGGTTGGGACCTTCGGGGCGTCGTAAGCCGTTGGTGTCGATTGTTGTCGTCGGTGTTGTCGGTGTCGTTGAAGGTTTTTTGGATTGGACAGCATTTGTAATGCAGTATGAGTTCGGAATAAATTGTGTCGTTGAAAGTATAGCAGTTAAGCTAACCTATGGTTCCGAGGACTGTCCATTTGTTAGATATGAGCAGACTCATCTCATCAGAAGGTTCATCTATACCTCCGCAGCGCAAGCCGTAAGGCCAGGCGTGTTAAGATTGAAGATCTATCAGCACTTGTCGGACTCTGGATGAGCCTTTGGTGGTTTAAGTGGCCTTGTTAGCCCTGGGATGAATGAAGAGCGGCGGTTTGAGAGATGAGGTTTTGCGCAGATGAGGATTGAAGCTTTTGTATTGATTCAATTGGATATGAAGTGAAGATGTATTGTAGAGTTGTAGAGGTTTTTCTTGAAGCGATTCTAGTAGAATGATCTTCTCAGGTTGCGGTTTCTTGGGATCTCCAAGGCAGATGACGCTATGTGATATCTCGCATAAACAGAGATGGTCGTTGCCGGGCAACGGGTAATCCTAAATTCCTAAATTCGGAATGACCAGGGTTGGTTGGCCAAGCTTCCGAGTTTGGACTAATCGGAATCGGAATCAACACCCAACGGAAACCCTTACACCAGCCATCGCAGGCACACATTCTTCTCAGGGCGTAAAAGGTTGATTAAGCTGAACCCTTGGTTGCATATTCACGCGTGGCTGCAGAACCTCATTTATACCGAGTATGTCGTCTACAACTGGTACGATGCGGGGGACTCCCTCGAGGAGTGGAGCTGCAAGAGGTGCTATGCCTCAGTTTACAAACAGTCCTTCCTCGGGCATCCCGAGACCTCTAGAGAACCATGGGAGCTCAACCCTTCAGAGCGAAGCTGGAGGCTCTTCAGTGAGCACCAGCAGGCAGAAGCAGTCGAAGAGAGATGAGGTGTGTTTACCCCCCGCCTTATCGCAACCGCTGCCAGAACCCCCCTTTAACGTTTGATTAGGCTATCCGAAGAAAAATCGAGACCGACCTCAGCAAGAAGACGAAGACCACCGGTCGTGCGAGACAATCCAAGAGAGCTCCTCTGGGAACTGTCATGGCCCTGAGGCCCAGCCAGGCCCTTCAAATCAAGCCGAATACAACTGTTGCCGAGGCTGCTCAATTGATGGCGGCAAAGAGAGAAGACTGCGTACTGGTCACCGATGATGACGACCGCATTGCCGGTATCTTCACCGCAAAGGATCTTGCATACAGGGTTGTTGGAGCTGGCATCAAGGCCAACAGCATCACGATCGCCGAGATCATGACCAAGAACCCGCTCTGTGCCCGCACCGACACAAGCGCAACCGACGCCCTCGACCTCATGGTCCGCAAGGGATTCCGCCATTTGCCAGTTATGGATGAGAACCAGGACATCTCTGGTATCTTGGATATCACCAAGTGTTTCTACGATGCTATGGAGAAGTTGGAGAGGGCATATAGCTCTTCCCGCAAACTTTACGATGCTTTGGAGGGTGTTCAGTCTGAGCTTGGGTCCAGCCAGCCGCAACAAATCATACAATACGTTGAGGCTCTACGCTTGAAGATGTCCGGGCCAACCCTAGAATCCGTCCTGGATGGCCGCCCTCCGACTACCGTCTCCGTCCGCACTTCCGTGAAGGAGGCGGCAATGTTGATGAAGGAGAACCACACCACAGCTGTCTTGGTCCAGGACCAGGGTGCCATCACCGGAATCTTCACAAGCAAAGATGTCGTCCTTCGTGTCATTGCTCCTGGGATGGACCCCGCCAACTGCAGCGTCGTTAGAGTCATGACGCCTCACCCAGACTTCGCTCCGATGGAAATGACCATCCAAGCTGCATTGAGGAAGATGCATGGTATGTACGATCCAGGTGTAAACTGATAGTTGCTAATAGACGATAGATGGCCACTACTTGAACCTGCCAGTCATGAACGATGGCGGCGAAATCGTTGGCATGGTTGACGTCTTGAAGCTTACATACGCCACATTGGAGCAGATCAACACCATATCTACAGGGGACAGCGAAGGCCCTGCTTGGAACAAGTTCTGGTTATCGTTGGATAATGATACGGAATCTATGATGTCAGGAGAGGGCAGCCATCACCAGGTTGCTAGTAGGTCTCTCATGTCCCCAGACCACTCGAAGCACGCTGGAATGATGGATACCAGCGTTTCCCCTGGCGATTCTGCATCCCACACCGGAGCCGAGTCTCCTGCTAGGCACCTGGAAGAGCCTGCACTGCCGGTCGAGGATATTCCATTCCCGTTCAAGTTCAAGGCACCAAGTGGCCGAGTACACAGACTTCACATCACTGCGTCCAACGGCATGGCAGAGCTGATCGCCCTGGTCACAGATAAACTCGGTGCCGAGGTTGAGGCTGTTGGAGGAGCAGCGAGCTTTGAGTATGGGAAGTTGGGGGCTTCAGGCTTTGCATTGAGCTACCTTGACGATGAGGGAGACACTGTTTCCATCACCACAGACCATGATCTCAAGGAGGCCATTGCCATTGCCAGACAAGGTGGACGCGACAAGGTTGATCTGTTTGTCCATGACCCCGAGAAGCCAGCCATCACGGCTACTGTCGAACCAGTCCCTGTCATCGCTGAGCTACCCACACCACCAATGTCAACTATCCGCAGGAGACGCGAGCGCGTCATCTCGGAGGAAGACGAGGAGAGCGACGAAGAGGACCATCACCGCCTTCACTCGCGCAGCCGGAGACAACAACCGGTCGTCCAGGAGGCCCCTCAGATCATCGCTGGAGTGCCGAATGATCTGCTGCTGCCGGGTGCGATTGTGACTCTTGCAGTTGCCATCATTGGTGTTTTCGCCATCACCAAGGCGACGAGCAGGTAGTAGCAAGGAGAGATGTTTTTAGATTTCTGCGGTATTTTTACGCCTTCATGATGTACCTAGCGTTAGCAGTAATGATGGGGGCTTTGTAGTGGCCCAATCCACAATTTTTTCGGAGCTTCAATAAATAGACTGTACCAAATAATTTGAAAGATACGCCCTCTGTGTTGTATATTGGTGTTGTCGCTCGTATGTCGCGGTCACCCATCAAGCTAACCGCTTCAAGACTAGCCGAATATTGCATCCTCGAAATCTCAAAAGTCGCTCCGACGACGACAACCAAACTCACCAGAACCATCAAGCCCACCACAATGATAATACGGAATGTAGCCTCACGGCATGGTACGAAACCCCCCCTCCCCCCAGCACCCCCCTCCCACCCAATTGACCCAACTAACCCCCCTCCTCCAGGCCGCCGCGCCCTCACCACCTCCCTCCGCACCCTCACCACCACCACCGCACCACCCCCTCAAAAACAACTCACCCCCGACTCCGTCAACCCCTCCGCCGGCGCAGACTTCAAGACCATGAACTACATCAAGCGCGCCACCGGCTCCCTCGGCTCAGACATCGCACCCTTCTACCAGCCCCACCGCGCCATCACCGCTCCCCTCGGGCCAGACGACATCACCCTCCCCTTACTCCTCGCATCGCAGTCCCACATGGGCCATGCAACCGCGCTGTGGCACCCGGGGAACCAGATGTACATCCACGGTATCCGCGCGGGCATCCACATCATCTCCCTCGAAGCCACGACCGTGCATCTCCGCCGCGCAGCAAAGGTAGTTGAAGGCGTAGCATTCCACGGCGGCACGATCCTCTTCGTCGGCACGCGCAAGGGGCAGCAGCGCGCTGTTGTCGGCGCCGCGAAGCTGGCAGGTGGATGCCATATCTTCGATCGCTGGATTCCGGGGAGCTTGACGAATGGGGATCAGATCCTGGGGAGGGCGGGGATCAAGGTCGTCGATGAGAGGGATGAGGTGATTGATAATGAGACGTTCCGCAAGAAGTTGGAGGATCATAGAGCGGTCAAGCCGGATCTGGTAGTGGTCTTGAATCCGTTGGAGAATTATATCTGTCTGCATGAGTGTGGGCTCGCGGGTGTGCCGACTATTGGCATTGTTGATACGGATACTAACCCGACTTGGGTTACGTATCCCATCCCGGCGAATGATGATTCGTGAGTCCCCCCAATCCTTTTCCGTCCTTCATGGTGTAGAAACAGTTTGCTGACGCGATGTATCCAGACTCCGCTGCACGCACCTCATCGCCGGTGTCCTCGGACGCGCAGGCCAAATCGGACAGAAGAAGCGCGCCGAGGCCGCGAAGGACGGGAAGGTGGCCTGGGAGACTGCGGAGTACTTGTCGGAGTGGATGGCGGAGGAGGTGGATGCTCAAGTTGACGCGAAGAAGAGTCCTGTGGAGAAGCAGTAGGGGGCTGAAGAGGGGGAAGGGGGACGAGGATAGTGTATTGTAAGATTTGTATGAATTAAGTGTTGGCATAGCATAGCATATAGGGCTGGAAGGCGTGGTATCTATCTACTGTATAACTCAGCATCCGCCGTTTCAAGCCCAGTGATCCGTAACCGACGTTCCCATGAACCCACAGAAGTGCCGCTAGGATCCTGTGTGGCCTAGTCGAGCTACGATCCTACACCACAAAGCGCCCATTATCACATCAAATAAAAGCATACAGGTTCCATAAAATTAGTAGATTTACTACCACATCTAGCTCACCGCTATGCTTAAACCCATATAAACCGCCTTCCCTCCCCAGGCGACAACCCGCACCAGCTTGTTCATTCATGGTATCAACCTCCCCACCCCACATCCATCTTCACTACCCAACTAGCTAAACGCCGACCTGGCAATCAACTGCGCTTCTGGCCCCAATTGCGCCGTCAACGCATTCAAATCCTGTCCGGTGATCTGGAGCAGGTTCTTCGTCGACGTCACGACCTTGACTGCGATCTGGCCTTGCAGGGTCTTAGCCTCGAGCGCGAGCACGACGGCTGCGAAGACCTTCTGGGGCTGCGTAAGGACAGCGGGGTGTTGTCTGTAGGTACGGTTAGCTGATGCTCCTGAATCCTGGCCAAAGTGGGCGGGGTTATGAAGTGTACTCACTGATCAATAAGCTGCGACAAATACAAATAAGCATACGGCGCCGCCTCCTCATCATTAACCACCGGCAGCGTCTCCACCCACCTCCTACTCGTCTCATCCGGCTCCCTCACCTGACTCGCGTTGTAATGCAGAATCTTCGCGATCGCCGCACACGCATTCTCAGTCACGAACACGTTATCCTCATCCCTCGCATCCGGCACCGCGCACAACGCAAACAACGTATCCACCGCCGCGCCAAGGAACCCAGCCCAGACGACTCCGCCCTTGTGCGCCGCCATCCCGACACCATAGGCGGCAGCTTGGCGGTTCGCGGGCGCAGCGTCGCGGCACCCGGCGATGAGCGGCTCGATGATGAAGGCGTTGTACTCCCAGCTCCTCTCACCGCAGAACTCGAGCACGTCATCCATGATGCACAGACCCCACTGTCGCTGCGTCGGGTCGCCGTTCTTGAGGAAGGCGTCGTAGGTGGCGCTGAGGCGGCCCCAGGCGGGCAGGAAATCCACGCCGTGGTTCTTGAAGATGCAGTGGAAGGCCTTGTTCATCTCGGCGAGCAGGGCCTGGTCGTCCTCAATGGCGTACAGGATGTCGTCGTCCTCCTCTTCGCCCTCCTCGCGGTTGTTCTCCTCGGCTTCCTCGGCGCGCTCCTTGACGCGCTCTTTGTAGTCTTCGAGCGCCGATTGGGCGGCCGAGACGAAGGCGTCCATATGTTTGCCCGAGAGGCAGTTCTTGCCCATCACCTCGACGGATTCGTAGAAGGAGTGGTACATCTCGGCGAGGGTCTCGATGGCGGGCTCGGCGGTGAGGACCTCGAGGATCTTCTCGAGCGTGGGCTCCCAGAGGCTGGTCAGCTCGTTGGAGGGGATTCCGTAGGCCTTCTTGTAGGAGTTGATCAGCTGCGGCACAAGCTTGGCGGAGATGACGCGGACGGGGTCGTGGAAGAAAAATGCAAGGCCTGGGACGGCGATGTTCTGCATGATATCCGGAACGTATGGCGCGAAGTCGGCCTCCAAGACTTGCGCGTAGACAACAAGTAGCTCGATAGCAATGTTCTTCTCGTCCAATGTGCTGGTCTTGATACCGATGATCTTGCCCTTAAGAGGCACCAACTCCCATCCCTCCTCTTGCTGGATGGCCTCGGCCTGCTCCTCGTCGTCCAAGAGCTGGATATCAGCCTTGGCCTTCGCAATCTCGAGAAGCGGTGGCATGACGCTCGGCAAGAATGGAATGAAATCCTTCTCCAGGACTCGGCACATACGTCCCCAGCAGTGCATGAGGTATTGTGCTTGCGGGTCGTCGGCATCAGTGATGCTTCCCTGGATCGAAGCGAGGAGCTGCACCAGGGTCATGGCATCATCGCGGAGACGCTCCTTTCCAACAGCCAAGGCAATCAGAGTAGCGCACTCCATAGCCTTAGCACGCAGCAGGCGGAGCTCCTTGGTGTTCTCTTGTCGCAGAACAGTAAACAGCAATGGCATAAGGGTATCATAGTACTTGGAGAAGGCAGCCTCGGCCGAGTCGGCGACTGTGGCAATCGTCGATAGAGCCTGTTCCTGCACGTATCTCTTTGGGCTTTGGAGGATCTGGAAAAGAAGGCTCAGGAGGCCATCCAGGTACTGCTCCAACACCTCCTTTTGAGCGGCCTCGCAGAAGTTAACCAGGGCAGCGGCAGCGTGGGCCTGGACGCGGGGTTCGGCAGACTCGAGAACCGGGATAATGGCTGGAAGAACAATCTGGTGGTAGTTCTCCTGCATGGTGCCAGCGAAGTCAGTGCTCATCTGACCAAGGGCGTTGCACCCTGCCCATCGTACACGTGGGTGGGGGTCGCGCAGCGCCGGGACAACCAATTCGAGGACCTTGTCCAGCTCTCCAACCATCAGGTCACGGCAGCCTTCTGAGATGGCCGAGATGGCCATCAGAGCGGCGTGTCTATCCCTCCATGCGTTGGAGGTCATCATACGTGGTAGCCAACCGAATGTGGGCGCCAGAATGGTCTGTCCGCCAAGTCTGTTCGCCAATCTATCCATACAGTGTTCACCAGCGACGTGGTTCATGTCGCTCTCCTCGGGCTCCATATCCTCGGAGTCGTTCCACTCAGCTGCATCGTCGTCGTCGACGCCAATGTCAGTCATCAGACTCAAACATTGCGTAATCATATCAGCAGTGAACGATGGGTCCTTTCGGCACATCCCAGGCGCGTAGTCGGCGAACGTAGCCATAAGCTCCAGAGAGTTTTGCCTCGCCTGGTCGCTGAGCTCTTTATCCTGGATGACAGATATGCTGAAAGCGACGAGGTTGCGGAAGAGCGGCTTGAACATTTTCGGGGCAACCTCTGCAAGGTCGATGAGGGCAGTAAGGGCTCTTGTCAAGTCTTCGGAATCCTGCGACTCCTTGATCGGTGGGAGGATGTTCAGGACCTCTGGGATGAGTGCGTAGTACTTGACTTGCGCCTTCTTGCTAATTGTGCGGAAAAACGAGGCGAATGCCTCCATGGCCGATAATCGGACATTGACGTTGACATCCTTGAAGCCCTTCGCAAAAGCCGACAGCACAGTGTCCTCATGCTGCTTCTCAATTATACCGGGGGTCGTTGCGAAGATCCTGTAGGCATTTTCCCTCTGTCCTTCGTCTTTGGAGTTGCTGAGCGTAAACAACACACCGAGTAATTCGGGCCATTGTTGACCTATATTGTCATATATTGTCAGGGACACTATCAGTAAAAACCAAGGGGTGCGCTCGTACCGTTATCTGAGTATTCTCTCGCCAGCTCAGCGACCGCATCGCCAACCTTGTTCCGCACGGTGTTGACGGTCTCGTTGCCAAGCGCCTCGAGCAGCTTCTCGCGGATCGCATACGCCTGCTCTTGTGATATAGATAGGAACAGCTCGATCTGGTCTCCACTCGCAGCCTTGCGAGTCTTTGAAGCTATGCGACGGAAGATAACTGAAGCAAATGAGCGCGTCTAAATTCCCGACATTAGCCAACTGAAAGCGCCGACAGAGATCATAATCCCACGGGATCCTGCATGCATACCGTGGTGTCGGTGGAGCCATGGATCTGCTCCACCAGGCCCATCAAAAGGACCTCTGGCTGGGTGTTTGTCCAGTTGTTCGCTAGGTGCTCTTCGGCCTGGGAGCGGATGTTGTTGTCGCCTGACTGCAGGGCCAGCAGCAGCTGCGAGAGCTCGGCATGAACCTGAGGTGACAGGACCGACGACATTCTCGCGCGTCTCTTTTGTTCCTCTCTACTGTTCCTCTCTACCAGTAATGGCTGCACCGGATGGTTTGGACCCTGACCGATCGCTTTTCTCTCTCGTTTGTTGAGGGTTTGTTGGGAGGGGCTAAGAGCGTGGAAGTGTCAATGGCGCGTATAACCAAGGGACTGACTCTACGGCCTTTTTGTTCGCACTGGGGGAACCGACGGTGGCAGGGACCAAACAAAGGACGTATGTAGTTGTTTGTTTTTCCGAGGTCAAGAGAACCTAGAGGAATCAAAGATATAGTAGTATATGGCGACAGAGGTAGGACAGGATTTCTTATAGAACAGGAGGAGAGACAAATAGAAGAAGAATGGTGGTGATGGGCGTCGTCATGTCGACCTTTTGTGGTAGTGGGGTTGTTGCACACAAAACCGATACAAAGTGCTCCGTATAAATTTTGGGAAAGGGAGCGGGGAGGATGGCGCGCCAATCAGAGGGCGTTATCGGGTTGGATATTCTTTCAATATTCTTATTCTCCAAGTTATTCTCTGCCAAAGTACGACATTTCAGTGCAGCCAGGCACGGCGACGCTGCCCGAATGCATGAAATGCGATGGTACATGGGGGGATTTTAATTATTTTAATTCTTTTAATTCTTTTAATTTATTTACAGTCTTGCAATCCTCACAACGTGACCCTCACTCGCAGAATGTTTTAGTTGGTGGCGATGGATAATGTCATGGCGAATTCCTGTGACCGTTTTGGCTCGGATCACCGGTACGGTATCATGGTTATGCATGAGCTACAGTGACAAGACTTCGATACAGCAGGACCAAAGAACCTCTTCCACTATTGAAGAGGTCGACCATAGAAAGTCCTAAAGAGCCGACGCATGAACCCCAAACTCCAATACGGTATGGGTTAAATTGGAGCTTAGCTCGAAGCTCCTTGTTTCCTAGAAGCACATTTGCAACTGCTGACTTCCAACAGTATCATCGGAGCTGAAACTTCAAGCAACTCAACGAAAATAACTGGGGCTGGTCGGGATATTCCTGATTTTGGAATTTTACAGGTAAGAAGTGACAGGTATTCTGGCGAAATAACTTGCTGAAGTATGAGATAGTTAGACACATCCGACGGCGAGCGAGCTGATTTCTCGCAGAGACGTTATCTCAGGAGGGAGTACAGGCTTGATATATCTCCTGCCTTCTGGGTATGTGAGAAAGACAGCCTACCCAGATATAACTAGAAAGCAGAGTCTTCGAGATATCGAGCACGAGTACAAAATCTGTCAGAGGCTTCCGCGGCATGGCCAGTGCCAATTACGAGAACGGATCGCAAAAGACCGCAACCCCAGGAGATCTCGATCAACACTTGATCGCGACGCTAGCTCCTGTTCGGCAGAGTGGCCGTCTAGATCAAACCTGCTGGGTGGTGTGACACACTCTCCATATGTCATCTATTTTCGCAGACTGCAGCTTCTGCTCTGGGATATGCAACGATAGCGCTTGCACAGGTCGACCAGGACTGGTGGCAGGACTGGTGGCAGGACTGGGCTCGGAATGTAAGGCGATCCCGAGTGCAGCCGCAACATGCAAACGGTCAGTCGGGTGACGATCCAAGTATCGATTTAGTGAGCCTTGCCCCTGGCATAGCCAGTGAAGAACGCGTGGGAGAGTCTGCATGGCGTTCAGAGATGAGACGATGGAGGGAAGGAAACTGAAGACCTTCTCAGCGGGCAGAGTGTGCAGTACGTGGCTGAGGGCCAGCTCAGAATACGTTACCTTTTGGGTGCTTTGATCTAAATCATTGCCAACACCACGACTCAAAGCCTGAGAGCAATGTCTAGCAGTGGTAGGAGTTGTGCTTGCCATGGCCGAAGCAAAGGCATGAGGGAGAGGGAAAGTGAGAACGGGCGACGTGGACGAATCGCGCCACTCACTACTTTATCTAAAAGTTGTGGGTCCTGGTCCCTGATGGCCGCGCGGGCCACCCATTTATCCCATCACAGATGGCACACTTCAAGAGTACGTACTACGCCGATCATCTAGAAGCTTTGAATACCGCGACCCCTTGCGCTATCAAGTTGGATAGACGGGCGCAAGGCCTTTGCTTCAAAGAAGCTGCGGTACCTCAAAGCGCAAACATGACGTAAGTTGCAGTATGAGTCACCATTGTTCCATTACCTTCTAATCTGTCTCCAAGTCATTTATGTCCCGCTCACAAAAGCCTTTTACCTCGCCTTCCCCCTCCCCCTCCTCCCTTCTCTATTCTCCGTTTCCTGACTGTCTCTACTTTAACTCACTCATTTAACACAATCTCTTTGCGAGCTCTCGAGCATTATGAACATCATTCATGTATACGCAGTTGCCGCAGGCGGCATCTTTGCTCTCCTTCATCTGTTTCCGAAGATCATGCCGCTCGTTACTTACCTATCCCTCCGCTTCTCAAAGCACATCACGTATCCATACCTTCTCCATCGACATCGCATTCTAGCGCCATGGAGTCGAGCTGGTGTTCTCGTACAGCTGATCTACACTGCAGTGAATCTATTCTGCGTCAGCTTCAGAGCTTCTACGATTTCGGACGCTGGCCTCCGAGCGGGGTCACTCGCGGTGGTCAACATGGTTCCCCTCTTCGCCGGAGCGCATCTCGCCTTCTTCGCGGACCGGCTTGGGATATCTCTCAGGGCCGTCCGTGTTGTCCATCGCTCCACAGGTTTTATGGCTTTCTCGTTAGGCCTCCTTCATGTTCTTGTGATTGCGGCGTCCAACGTCCCCATCCCTTTAAACGAACCCCGGAATTTGTTTGCGGTTTTCAGGTGGGGTAAGTGGGCGGCGATACCAAAGCCGCTAGCTACCATCAGAATACTCTCGTACTCGTCCATGGCAACACGTGGCCCATGGGGGCCATTGAACATGATGATTGGGTTAATAGTGTGGCCCTTCTTAGCATGATATAGCAACTCCTGGGTCAGGCCCCTCTGAGGCTCAATGAGGAGATCGAGGGTATGCTGCTCCTTGGGCTCCCAAGAGATCACCATGAACGGGTGGCTCTGCAGGAAAGACCAGAAGCTGACAGAAGGTATCCACAGGTTAACATACTGTTCATCATCGACCTTTAGCGGCTTCTGAAGGTGAAGGCGGATCTTGACCGCACCCGAATCATGGGTGATGGTGGCCCGTGAGAGGTGGTGTCGAAAGATTCCGTTGCGAAATATGACGTTGCTACTTTGTAGAAGGAACATGGACAGTAATAAACCTGCGGAGACATATATATAAAGGCGGGGGAAGAGCTTTTCGGAGGGCAAATGCCACCACACTGCATAGGCAAAAGCCACTGCGAGCGCCTGGTGTGTCCGGAGGAAGAGCTCGTAGGAGAGTTTACGAAAAAGAGGGCACACGAGCAGTACGAGAAGGCAAAGCAGCGATCCTCCCTATGCAGTTTTTAGTTAACGGTCTAGGGATGAGAGAAGCCATACATAGGCTATAATGCTCGCATAGTCCGAGCTCGCCGGATCCATCTCGTCTGGCAGATCCGGGATAAAGGTAAGGTTCCAATCCGGGCTTCACACAAAAGCTGACGAAGCCAGCCGACGGCCTCGCAGCTCAGTCACTGCTGAACAGCGTATTAGACGAGGACAAGTTAGATGATGGTTGTGTATGTCCCTGGGGTCGCTTCATATCCTCGAATTGTCTCGCTAATGAATGCCTGGGCTAGATTCTCGATGTCTCAGTATACCTCGAATACAGCGATTCTCGAAGTTTCCGTTTGGTAACCGTGCTACCGCGTATCCGGGATCCGCGCCGTTGCTCGAGATATTTCTAGCAGAGGTCTCGGGGAAATATATAAAGAGACCACGGACAGAGTGTGGCCGTTTTAGCTTACGTACCTTGTTTCGAGTGCCTTGCTCTTATGCTCTATGATCCACCCTTTGTGAGCCATCATCAAAACCACAAAGCGGTAACTACATACATATTATGAAGCTCACGAGATTGGAGAAGGAACCAAATCTCCTACAGTCGCTTGCAAAATCGGCTTCCCCTCGAACGCACTTTAAAGAAGTTTAGCCCCATCTCAGTTAAGGGGGTCTATTACCGCCTTGCCAAACTTGGTTAGGCGCAGAATATAGATCAAGGTCACGAGTTAAAGACAAATTTTTAGCGGCTGAAATACATTTGTCATCTTCATCAGCCATTGGACATGTGACTATTTATGTAATGATTTGAGTTTTCTATCTACAGCATAATGATCTAACGTGCATGTATAACGAAAGTGCCAAACAAGCGAAAGTGCCAAAATCATGCGGTGACCAACCCCCCCAAGTAAATGTTAAATTCCTCCACAACAAAACATGCGCCATAAAAATGATGAAAGCAAATTAGTGCTAGCTATCCAAGCTATGCAAAGCGACCCAAATTTGCGCCTTCGAGTTGCAGCTAGGATCTATTCCGTAGACCACCGCAAGCTACGTCACCGTTTACAAGGCGTACCTTCATGACGCGATATCCAAGCCAACTTACGGAAATTAAGTAACCTAGAGGAATCAGTTCTTGTTCAGTATATACTTGACTTAGCTGCTAAAGGTTTCCCTCCTCAGTTGTCTATTGTTGAAGATATGGCAAATCGACTACTTGCAACACGCGACGCGCCACGCGTCGGGTCACGTTTGTAAGGATGCCTCCTTACTCGGGGTAGTTACGGCCGTCACGTGGCGCCATCGAGACTCGGGGCCGTTACGGGTCAGTCGCGACTGACAGCCTTAGGCACATAACGTAAGGAAGCCTTAGGCAAACAGGGAGCTAGCTGAGTCGGAGCGGTTTCGGGTATTTTAAGGGAACAGCCATACAGGGTGACACCTTCATCTTTTTTGTATCCTTCGTAGTAGACCTATAGGATTGCACCGACTCATATCCGACTCGCACTCCCATATGCCACTTCTCGTGATACGGTGCCCTGCGTCCTTACATTATACAAAAGAGATCACGCCTGCCGGGGACGGCCGTACGTAAATAATATCCCACAACTGGAACGACTCAGGAGAACTGTCGAAACACCACCGACCGCGACTCAGTGACATTTCGAAGTAGAGACCTGACGACTTCAAATAGCCGTGACCCCAGAGAACTCACGGACAACCAGTGGATCAGGGTTTGATCCTGCAGAGCAAGCTGGTAAAGTCGCCGACGCGTTGGCGCCGAATAGGATACGAGATCCTTAAGAACCCCCTCAAGCACAGAGGCAATTGTGAACAAGAGTGTTGATAGCTACGAGCTACCGGAAGTCAAACTCTTTCGTATCGACACCGATACACTCCCGAACCAATATGAGGAAAATGACCTCAAACATCCCCCAAGACAATGATGGTCAACCGTCACGAATGTCAACGAGACAAACCACAGCTGCAGCTACGACCGCTGCACCCACCGATGACATACCGGATCGAATGGCAAACCTCGAGATCCAGATGCAAGAGATCAAGGAAATGATAGCCAACCTAGCGGCAACCCAGACCAGAATACCGTCCACGCCACCGGTGGACACCGTCGAAGTTGAGGAGCGACGAACTTCCCCTATGCGAAACACCCCCGAGACAGTTCAGTTGCCGCCTCTTCGAAACACTCGTTCTCCATCGATTCCGAGGATGTATTCCGAAGACCCTCCGAATCGCTACAAGAAATCCACCATCTCTGAGAAGATTACGCCGCTCAGCGATGGGATAGAACATACCTTTATGCAATGGAGCGCGTCCATTCGGGACCGCCTCGTAGTCAATGAGGATCACTACCCTACCGACGTCTCGAGAAGAGCGTTGATATGGGGGACTACGACTGGCCTGGCAAAGAAATACCTCAAACCCCAATACCTATCCGCGACACATGGGTTTCGGAGTGCCGACGAGATTATGGACCTGTTGGGTTCATATTACCTCACTGGCAACGAAACGGAACAGGCCCGGAACCTCTTCGACGACCTCCAAATGGGAGAGAAAGGACATACCAACGAGACTTTCTCAGAGTTCAAAGCTCGCTTCCAAAGTGCAGCTATTACGGGACAGGTCACAGAGTCGGAATGGTTTCGGTACATGTGGAACAAGTTGACCCCTCAATTCCGTAGCCGCGTAGCGGTTATCAAAAGTCAATGGAAGGGAGACTACCACACTATGGTCCGAGAACTCACCGCCTTCGATCAGGAGCGACGCCGGAATAACGAGCTAAGCTTCCCGTCCAAGAGCGGCGAGTCGAGCTCCCGAGGACCCGCCCGTCTGAGCTCATCTAGGTTCACACCCGCTGAGCCCGTAAGAACCCAACCGCCGAGGCCTACAAGAAGCCCTCTGGTCTCCTTCCAGAGGACTCCTTTTACGCCCACGGCCCCCAAGCCGGACATTACAGGCCGCGTGCGGACCGCCGTGCCGGCTACGTCCGGGAACTGTTTCAAGTGCGGCAAGCCGGGCCATTTCCAAGACAAATGCCCGCTCAACCCCACCGTCAAGGAGATTGACCGCGAAGCCCCTGAGGACGAAGAGCAGTGGGAGGAAGCAGTCGCCCACCAGTCGGATGCGTCCCTGGAGGAAAACGACGATGTAATGGTGGGTGCACCAGATATGAGAATCTAGCCACCCAAGGAAGGGATGAATTTACTAAGACAACACACTGTCTTAGGAAACAGAGCCAAAGGGTTGTAGCTTAGACTATTCCACAACGCAGCAATCAGGTGTATGATGTGGTGAAGTGGTTTAGACAAGTTGCAACAAATGTTGAGTCTGAGAACTCAGGGGTAAGTCAGAGGTTAGCACCTCACTGACTTTTCAAAAACAGAGAATAACAAGATCAATGCTTGGAAGCTTGGAAAAGACGTAGAAGTATGTGCTAGTCGATTTACTGTATTGCCTGCTTGCCCTTTCTTAAGGAAAGGGCAATCCTATTTATGCCAAAGGAGTGTAGTTCTCTTATTTTCCATGACTTTCCATGACTAACCAGGCTTGGTAAATGTATTAGAAATCAAGTGCGACCCACAACTAGCTTGCTAATCATGTAGTGAACGTAAGAGAATCCCATAGAACCATCTCTTGGGTTCCTAGCCTATAGGAAGTGAAAAGGAGGTCCAAGGTCAGAGTACCTATAGACAAATTATGTCATAACTTAACCAATCTTGTGGGTAACTAAGGAGCGATGACGTGTAATGAATCATAGAGGGTTGTAGAAGCTTCTAGAGCTATTGTTCATGTTCCTAGGCCTCTAGTTGGTAGAGATATGCCATGTGGTAGTATTGGCCCACCCCCTTAAGGAGGAGATTTTCTTAATAACTTGTTCAATGAGTGTCCAAATGATATGCCGTGATGTATGTAGCATAAACAGATGTAGTAGAAGAGTTTGCAGCAATCGTTGAGTAGTATTGCTTCTGTTGTTGGTGTGATAAGCCAAGATATGTATGGTGACTTGTAGGTTTGAGGAGGAGATTTCTAAGTTTGCTCTTGAGTTTGATAGCAAACTGAGTGCAACGAATGTCAGTATGACAGACGAGGCCTAGGGAAAGGCTCCTTCCTAGGTCTACGCAAATGTGATCTGCAAGGACTGGATTTACGAGAGCTCTTGGGAGGCTCCCAATTTCTCGTTGATACAACCCTGAGTATGAACGGACTCGGGGTGCAAACGAAGTCACTCGCAGACACAGGAGCAAATGGCTACCTCGTCATTAATAAGCTTTTCGCGCAACGGTTGTCGAAAGCGCTTCAGAGCCCCATACGGAAACTGCCCTACTCTGTACCCATACGTGGATTTCAGCGAAATATCCAAAGCTACGTATCGGAGTATATTCGGTTACACTTGACAGTCGAAGGACGCCGAATATATAACTGCCCCTTTGTGCTCCTAGATCTCGGAGCGCAAGATGTGATAATTGGGAAGAAGCTTTTTAGCCGCTTCCGAATCCTACTCGACTCTGCAAAGAGCCGGCTAGTATGGCCAAAGGAGTACCCGCCTACTCCTAGCTGGAGCAAAGAGATCACCTTGCCCTACCACTCGCGTGAACTGTCTATACGTCACCCCGCCCATCAATCGGATGCGAACCGGCGGGACGATGCCATCGACCATGACGACAGACGACGTGAGGGCGGACGCTCGATACCAATGAAAGTGATAACGGCCCATCGTGACGCTATTATGATCACCCCACCGAGCCCGGTGCGAGACGAGGGAACGACCCACCCGCACCCCAAAACCCCAAGGACACGAGCCTCGCCCGTGG